CCAAAAAACCTAGGCCTTACATAAACCCTAAAGCCCGAAACCCAAGCCCTTCCCCCCAGCCGGCTGATTAAAAATCTCGGGCAGGAGTACGAGGAAGTGCTGGTCGAAGATGAATGTCCGCCAGTCGAGGCACGGTCGCTTAGGTTTTACGGAACCAATGCCTAAACCCTGAAGCCCAAAACCCTAGGCCCAAAACCCTAAAACCTACTATAAAAGAGCACCCATGCCGGCCAATTTATCTTGTCTCTGGCAGGAGACAGACAAGAAGAAGATTAAAGCACCGGCAACCGAGGCAGGGTCGCTGAATTCCGGGCACAATCTCAGGGCTTTATGGATCTGAGCAGCGGCTCAATTTTAGGGTTTGAGGTTGGGGATGGTATTATATTCAGGTTAAAGGCTTGGGGTTCGTATCCTATCCTCAATTTGCGACTGTCGCCCGGGTCGCTTCATCATGCAGCCTAGGCCAGGGCTTCCAAAGAAAGGTCGGAGGAGGGTCCTGCAGCCCACCAGCATTTGAGAGGTTGCATGTGCATGCCCAGAGAGCATTGGATGTGTAGAGATTGAAACATAAGGCACCCTTCGACGTGGACGCAGCACTACTCGAAAATTGGCCACACATCGCCCAAGTACTCACTGCCACCAAGCAATCGTGCATCAATCCCCAATCCCAACGAAACTTGAGTGAGCACCGAAGAGCATCGGCCAAGGCCAAGGGCAAAGCGAAAGCAGCAAGCAAAGCGAAGTCAAAAGCGAAGGCAGCTCCCAAGGCTAATGGTGGGCCGAAGAAGAAAAGAAATGATACGGCTTACAATGTGGAAAGGAAGAAATTCTTCAAAAAGCTTCTTTCCTGCATATAGTACAATGTCATCGCACGATTGGGTAATATCCATGCAAGATTTGAACTGCTTGACCAATGCTAGCTGAGGCTCGACGAGAAGTTCGGACCCGGGATCTTGAAAAGCAAGGAAAAGCAGCTCAGGCTGGCCCGCAGAGACATAGACGAGAGAGAGAGAGAGAGAGAGAGAGAGAGAGAGAGAGAGAGAGAGAGAGAGAGAGAGAGAGAGAGAGAGAGAGAGACAGACACACACACACACACACACACACACACACACACGCAGGTATGCCTGGAAATCTTGAGTTGAATGCTATGCTTCCATTGTGCTTGATGCATGCACCCCGACTCTTTCTTCCAACTATAGGACCCTCAAGATCGAATGTGCTAATCGATTCCCGCATAGCTTCTAAAAACATGAGGTGGATGGAGTCCCACCAGCGATCCAACGTGCTGGCTTCGCTTGGGTACGACGAGAACGAGCTGAAACGCCGTCGCTTGTGAGTGTCGGCCCCCGCCACTTTTGGCAGTAGCCGTGGCACGGGCTGCTGGAGTTCGGGTCGATAAGATGTAGTCTACTTTAGAATATGCATGCACTGCTAGCATGCACTGCTAGCTTCAGTAATGGAGAAGCTCCACAGCCCAGCTTTCAAGATTCTTTGGCACGCAAGGGGTTTGCAGTGCTTCCAAAACATCATGTGCTTGAAGCTTGACACGGGTCCTCGCAGTGCATGCCGTGACCTCGAATTGTCTCCAGGCCTCAGATGGTTTGTTTCCTCGTTAGCTTTCGGGCAGTCAGGTTTTACAGGTTTTCTCCGGTTTCGGAATTCTTCTTGTCGGCTTTCGGGCTTTGAGTTTGGGTTTTAGAGTCTATAGGCTTCATAGGGTTATAGTTAGGGTTTACAGGTTGGGTAAGCTACAAATTCCTCTGGGTTGACATGGAGTGCTGCTGGCTTCCCATTCAGACTTGTTCTGGTTTGGGTATGGGACAACCCCCCTGTCGAGCTGGTACTGCTGCTACTGCGACTACTACTGCTACTACTACTACTCCTACTACTACTACTGCTGCTACTACTACTACTACTACTACTACTACTACTACTACTACTACTACTATAACTACTACTACTACTACTACTACTACTACTACTACTACTACTACTACTACTACTACTACTACTACTACTACTACTACTACTACTACTACTACTACTACTACTACTACTACTACTACTACTGCTTCTGCTGCTGCTACTGTTAGTGCTACTGCTCGACTGATCCAGACTTTTGCACGAGCCACAGCCCCACACCCTAAACCAAAACCCTCAACCCTAAAACCTAAACCCTAAACCCTGGCTAGACCCTAGACCCTAAACCCTGACCCTAGAGCCCAAACCCTAACCCTAAACCCTCAACCCTAAAACCTAAACCCTAAACCCTGGCTAGACCCTAGACCCCCTAAACCCTGACCCTGGAGCCCAAACCCCAACCCTAAACCCCAAACCCCAACCCCTAACCCTGCTTTGGCAAGTAAGGGTAGCAGTTCCATGTCTTGGTGGCTCCGCCTGTTTTGTTGGCTTGCTCCCTTGAGAAAGTAAATAGTCGATTGCTGCAATGTTCATGGTTCCAACACGAAGGAAAAGATTGATACTAAGACAATGCACATTGTAGAAGCATGCCAGCATGCAGTGTGTTCATCCCCAAAATCACGATGTCGCTGGCCTCATCTGATCCTCGCTTCGAAGGTCTCTTCAAAGCATGCACTGAGGCTATTGACCATCTTAACAGGCTCCAGCACGAGTTCGATTTGCTCAGCTCCAGGGTGCATCGTTTGGAAGCCGAGATGTTGGAAGCACTAGTGGACCTCCATGAGAAGGTAGATTCCATTATTATTTCTGCCCGAGCTACTGATGATGTCCTGGGTGATGGTCCACAGGAGACGGACCTCTGTTTAGAATCAATGGACTGAGCCTTTGCAGAATGCAGATGTCTCTATAGCACTGGGCCTCCCCTGTGTTGTGACTAGACAGCAAGCAGACAGCAGGAAATAAGTCATGTCAATATTAAGTGCGACTGAGCTGGGTGCTGTAATGTTGGCCTTAAGCCCATCGTGTTGTAGATGCATATGCATCATCAAAACCCTAGACCCAATACCCCAGGCCTGTATCCTTAAACCCTAGCCCTGAACACCTGTACCATCGGCCCTTCTCTTCTTAGCGGTTTCGACAAGGCCACGCAGCTTGAAGCTGGTGTCGATCGAGAGATTTCGTTCTTCCTCGGCTAGGCCGGCTTGCTTAGGGTTAAGGACTCTAGTTTAGGGTTTAGTTTTTAAGGCTTTAGGGTTTAAGGTTTGTTTTGGGGTTTAAGGTCTTAGGGTTTAAGGTTTTGGGTTTGGATTTTTGGGGCTTTTCCTCCTACTTCGCACAAACCCACCTGTCTCCCCGATATTGAAGCTCTGCCATCCATGGTGCAGTTCCAATACTGTAGCTGGGTTTGAGAGAACAAAGCCCAGTGGGTTTTGGGTTTTGGGTCACAGGATTTGGAAACCTGGCTTTCGTACCGGTGCTTGTGCCTCAAGTTTCGATGTTTTGAGGCTTGTGGTTTTGTAGCTTTTCTCATTCCCATAGGATCTGAAGACCCGAGGATCATGATGGATTATTGCTGGCTTCTGAGATTTTCAGGCTAAAAGCCCAGTGGGTTTCGGGTTTAGGGTTACAGGGCTGGATGGGACCTGGCTTTGGTATTGGTGCTCTGGCTTCAAATTTCAATGTTTTCAGGATTCGGGTTAGCAAGATCCGAGGACCATGATGGAGTGCATTACATTGTCGTGTTGAGGAGTAAAGCCCAGTGGGTTTTGGGTCTAGGTTTTCTGGCTTCGATGTATTTACCCCTAACTGTAATTATTTCCTACCCCATCTGTAGGGTATCCCTACATTCAACCCAAAAGCCATAGGGCTATAAGATGGAGCTACATAGGAATACCAGGATCTGATCTTGAAATTTGAGATCAAGCTCAGCCTGGTGCAGCATCCAGAACGAGCATGCTGGAGCATGATCTGGCATGTGCGGCGGTGCAATCTGTGAAGAATGCTAAGACGACTAGTTTTGAATCTTTCGCATGTTGTGATTTGGTCGCGATCATCGGGATGTAAGTGTGCCTCCTGTAGATTGTGATTTCGAGAACTATATTCATGCCCCTAGTGGCGGAGAAGGCGGTAGCTTCGAAGCTCAGGCTCGAGATTTAGTTCTTCTTTTGGGAACCAGACTTTTAAGGCGGAAGTATAACACGGCTCGGCGATTGTCAGCTTGGAACCATTGTAAGTTGCAACATTGCCTAGCTGCTACATAGGCTAGTTGCACAAGTGCCTATAGATCGATGGGGGTTATAATGGGAAAGGTTCAAGGTACGATTCAGGCTTTATGCCGCGAGGTCATGCAAGATCAGCGGCAACAGTCTTCGGTTTCTGGAAATGTCGGGTGTAGGTCTTCGGGTTGAGGGTTAGGGTTTATAAGTCAGCTTGGAACTGTTCCATGCTCTGCCGCTATGCACTCGCAGGTTATGATGATACTGGTATGATGGAGATCTGCTGGAGACCATATTGATTGGGAGCTACACGCCTCTTGGAGACTGCAGCTATAGGGTTGATGGTCTTTGGGATTTGGGGTCGATTGTTAGATGCATGCCATATATGCTCTGCCGCTACGGACTCTCAGGTTATATGATGATTCTGGTATGATGGAGATCTGATGGAGATCCGATTTTATTAATTGGGAGCTACAAGCCTCCTGGAGATTGCAGCTATAGGTCTGCTTCGCTGTGGATTTGTCGGCATACACATGATGTTGTACACGGTGTGTTCTGTGATTAAAATTATAGAATCGATAATAATAATTTATATAATAAACAGCCAACCGTGTATCACCGTGTATCTGCGTGTACTCGTTACCATAGACCACAGTCGGACCGTGTATCACCGTGTACCTGCTAGATCAAGAAATATGCAGTCCGAGATTCGCGATTCGGATGCCGCACTGCCCGCTTGCATCGCCTGCAGTATCGTGTGTTATGCTACAGATCGGGATCAAGCAGCGGGCACTTAGCAGCATGGCCCCTAAGAGAGCCACCCCTGCTGGTTGTGGGCCCTCCACGGAGGGCCGGCTTGTGGACATGTGGCAGAGCACTGGCCCCAATAGTTGGACTCACGCTGGCAAAGTAGTGTCGGGTACGAGCTTAAACGGGGCTGGAGGTTACTACACTGAAGAGGATTTCAAGGTGGGGAGTGTATACTGCAAAGGTGTTCGTGCACACATAATGATCTGTGCCTCTTATATTAAAATCGTCAGGAATCCGGGAAAGGCACGAGAAAAGGAAAAACAAAAGGTTCCGGGAAAGCAGAAGCAGCAGAGAAAGGAACAGCGAAGGGCAAGTCGCAGACCAAAGGTTCAGGAAAGGCCGCCGCAGAAGAAGCCGAGAAAGGAAAGGGCAAGTCGCTCACGAAAGGTTCAGGAAAGGAGGCCACAGGACAAGCCGAGAAGGGAAAAGGAAAGGGCAAGTCGCCCACGAAAGGTTCAGGAAAGGAGGCCACAGGAGAAGCCACGAAGGGAAAAGGAAAGACCAAGTCGCCGACGAAGGGTTCAGGACAGGAGGAAGCCACAGGAGAAGCCACGCAGAAGGGAAAAGGAAAGACCAAGTCGCCGACGAAAGGTTCAGGACAGGAGGAAGCCACAGAGAAGGGAAAAGGAAAGGGCAAGTCGCCCACGAAAGGTTCAGGAAAGGAGGCCGCAGGAGAAGCCGCAGAGAAGGGAAAAGGAAAGACCAAGTCGCCGACGAAAGGTTCAGGACAGGAGGAAGCCACAGGAGAAGCCACGCAGAAGGGAAAAGGAAAGACCAAGTCGCCGACGAAAGGTTCAGGAAAGGAGGCCACAGGAGAAGCCACGCAGAAGGGAAAAGGAAAGACCAAGTCGCCGACGAAGGGTTCAGGACAGGAGGAAGCCACAGGAGAAGCCGCAGAGAAGGGAAAAGGAAAGGGCAAGTCGCCCACGAAAGGTTCAGGACAGGAGGAAGCCACAGGAGAAGCCGCAGAGAAGGGAAAAGGAAAGGGCAAGTCGCCCACGAAAGGTTCAGGAAAGGAGGCCACAGGAGAAGCCGCGCAGAAGGGAAAAGGAAAGACCAAGTCGAAGGGTTCAGGACAGGAGGAAGCCACAGGAGAAGCCGCAGAGAAGGGAAAAGGAAAGGGCAAGTCGCCCACGAAAGGTTCAGGACAGGAGGAAGCCACAGGAGAAGCCGCAGAGAAGGGAAAAGGAAAGGGCAAGTCGCCCACGAAAGGTTCAGGAAAGGAGGCCACAGGAGAAGCCGCACAGAAGGGAAAAGGAAAGACCAAGTCGCCGACGAAGGGTTCAGGACAGGAGGAAGCCACAGGAGAAGCCACGCAGAAGGGAAAAGGAAAGACCAAGTCGCCGACGAAAGGTTCAGGACAGGAGGAAGCCACAGGAGAAGCCACGCAGAAGGGAAAAGGAAAGACCAAGTCGCCGACGAAAGGTGCCGGAAAGGAGGAGGAAGCCACAGGAGAAGCCGCAGAGAAGGGAAAAGGAAAGGGCAAGTCGCCGACGAAAGGTGCCGGAAAGGAGGAAGCAGGAGAAGAAGGTGCCGGAAAGGAGGAAGCAGGAGAAGAAGGTGCCGGAAAGGAGGAAGCAGGAGAAGAAGCCACAGAGAAGGGAAAAGGAAAGGGCAAGTCGCCCACGAAAGGTGCCGGAAAGGAGGAAGCCACAGGAGAAGCCAAGAAGGGAAAGGGAAAAACCAAGTCGCCGTCCAAAGGTTCAGGAGTACCCGAGGCCACAGACGAAGCCACACCGGAGGGAAAAGGGGCTGAAGAAAAGTTGGAGACACCAGCTCATGGTGTCAAAAGAAAGCTTACTTGGGCAGATGATCCTTCCGGCAGCAACACACCCGCACATGGCCATGTGTGATATGTAGGAATGATGTGGTCCTTTAATCTGTATCATCAGCTAAGGCATTCAGGGATCTCCTGGCTCAGAATCAATGCTGGAGAACTCTGGTTCGAAGTGCCTTAGCCTGCATTTAAGCTCCAGATAAATGCCACCTTTGGGTACGGCTTTGGGGTGTAGGGTTTGGGCTGTAGGGTTTTAAATTAGGGTCTCAGGATTTAGGGTTTACCTAGTCGGGTTAATATAGAGTGCCGGAGGGTTTCCAAGCTATGATGATGTTATGAGAAACAACCCAGTCTGAAGCCCCGTGGTTGCAGGACAAACACACCCAGCAGACCTAACTGAGTTTTTGCATGTCCGCTATGCCTAATTAAAACCTTAAACTCCCAAATAGCAAGTCCTAAACAACTTTCTCCCGAACCCCGAACACTAGAACCCTCCTCTCCCGAAATGTCTAAGGCCTGCTGATGGATATCAGACACATCTCTCACCAGCTGCTACGAAGCCGCACCAGTTCACGCATATGTCGAGGTCATGAAGCCTGATCCTTGGGCTTCTTCTTGCATGCTACTGCTTGTAAGGTGCGATCACTGCCGAAGGAACAACTCGAGCAGATTCTGAACATGAGTGAGCCCGGTCAGTTGGATTTGAAAACGAGGAAGCGGCTCAACGAGGCCATGAGAAGGCGATTCGACTGTAGTGAAGGACCGCCACTATACACAGCCCAACTCTTATCCCGAAAGATCCCGACTATCGATCTGTGCCAGGACTCAAACCCGGTCTTCTCGAAAAGTGGAAAGCGACCAAGGATCCGACCGAGAAGTGCCGGCCTTACATAACACAACGCCGTCCACTATACTCACCCCTTATATAGCAAATTCACGGTGCTACTGAGGTTTAACTTTTTGAAAGCTTTCCTGGTTCACAAAGACATGAACGACGTCGAAGTTGAAACCTTCTATGTGGAGACAACCAGCTGCAATTCGCATGTGTATGTTGCATGTAGGGTAGCCGGGGAATATTCAAACTGAGGAAAGATACGGTGACGAACAAAGAGAATTGGATTTCTCTTCCGCTTTGTGAGCTTCGCAAGCTTTACAGCACAGATGTCGAGAAGAAGTTCTTGGAAGAACAAGTGGTGGCAAAGCAACGAGGAACCCCGCACCCGCAGGCCTGCCCTTTCGTGTCCATTCTAAACCCCAAACCCTAAAGCCTCTAAACCCCAAGCCCTATAATAAACCGTGGCCTAGGACAGCAAGAATCCCGAGATGCGGATCTACACGGTGTTTCGTGACTTCAAGGACACCAGCCCTTTGGCTTCAAGACTGAACCCTTAAAGGCCTGTCCCCTGATATATATATATATATATATATATATATACATATTATGGCCTATCCCCTAAACCTCAACCCGAAGACCCTGCCAAAATACAATCCCGACAAGTCGTATGAAGCCCAGGTGCCAACAAGAAGGAGATTGGCACCCAGACATCCGCAGTCGCCAAAGTGCCGGCCAACAAGGCTGCTCGTGCTGCCTTTGCTGAGGCTCTGGACAGCAAGGCAGCTGGTTTCGTGAGCAAGGACTATGGGGACAACCTAGAGGGAGGCAGCAAAGGAAAGGGAGGTGGACCAAAGGGGTCGTCCAAAGGCAAGGGAAAAAACGGCAAAGGAAAGTCTGTTAAGGACCCCTTGTTTCTCTCTAGTTCTCTCTCTCACTCTCTCTCTGATATCTCTCTCATCTCTCTCTCTCTCTCTCTCTCTCTCTCTCTCTCTCTCTCTCTCTCTCTCTCTCTCTCTCTCTTTCTTCTCTCTCTCCCTCTCTCTGCAGTTCTGTGCAACAGCGAGGAACAAACGCCAGAAGAGAAAGAAAGGAAGGAGTTCGAAAAAAACCTCGGGCAGATTTTCGGTTGCATTAATGGTATGACTGTGCAATCGTGTGGTCCAGTGGAACTATGGATTCAGGCTGCGAAGTCTTGCCGATAAAGCCACGACGACGGCTACCAACTTGAAGAGCACGGGGATGAAACGGCAAGAGGCCGTTTGTATGTGTGTGTACATATATGAGCTAACCGTTTCGTTCTTGTTCACACGTGCAGAGAGTTACATTGATCAGGCGGATATCAAGCATATGGGCGAAGTCAACGAAGAGTGCTACAAGATCCTTGCAGAGCTCCCCGTTACAACATGTTAACGGAATGGTTTCGCTGGGTGTTTTGAGGTTGTAGATTACAAGGCTATAGTACAGGGTATATAATTATAGGACCGCCCTATGGTAGAAGCCAGAAAGTTGGAACATTAGTATCCTCATGCCCCTAAAGTAAAGTATACGGGATCCTAGCACAAATCCTCCTAAATCCATGTTCCAACTTTCTGGCTTCTACTCTAGGATACCTCACTAGATGTCGTCGATATTACAATATTCTACCATACCTTAGAAGCTGCCCCCACCCTGTAATAGTGACTATAAGGAGGGCCCTATCATATTCCTATTATACCACTATATACAAGGTGGGAGCAGCTTCTAAAACATACCTCGGAACCCCACTCTACTTGTAGTCAAGGCCCAAAGGGGCTCGATGTTCGGGCAGCTTTCCCAGGTGCAATCGCAGGCTGTTCTCCACGGAGCCGCTGTCCTACGCCAAGGAGTATCTTGAGAGCTTTTCCCACGTTCTCAAGGTGCAAGCCCCGGGGTGTCATCAAGGATTTGTTAAAGGGTCTGGCTTATAGGGTTTATATGAAGGGTCTTGAATGGCCCAAAGCCCAAACCCTAGACCCCTTAACCCTAAACTTGGAAGCCTGAAGCCACCTTTTTGCAACTGGGCTATTGCAATCACCTTAAATCTGATAACCCCTTACAGACCCCAAACCCTGTACGACCCTAGATGGGTTTATACCTTCTGCTCCCGCCAGGAATATGCGACTGATGTGAGCCATGCCGAAAGTGTATTCGTGGCCCACGAGCGACGTGTCTTAGCTTTGCAATAGTCGTGTGCACTGTGCACATGTACTTGTTGTGGCCCCCCAAATCTATCTTATGAGGCAAAGCTGCTGCAAAAAGAAAGGTCGAAAAGGAGCAAGAAAAGGAAGAGCTAAAACGGCTCAAGACGGAGGCCACCTTGAACAACGATCCCGAGGAGTGGCCAAAGGAAGCAGGGCAGTGTGATGATGATGATGATATCGATGGTGAAGAATGGGCCGAGGATGAGGAAAATGCTGAATGGCAAGATGCCTGATCCACGCAGACGGCACGACCGTGCAGCGAGCACAAGTGCCTCGGTTGGGGTGGCGATCCACCGGACTGCTGGAGTGGGTTTGCAGGTGTCATATATGTCCTAGTTCTCATTTGGCTTAATCCCCTTTACTCGGGTAGACTCCTTAGCCTGTGTACGGGGTGTCCTGCATGCAGCCTGCTATAGATGCAGTCTTTAAGCGATTGCCGGTAGCATTTCACACGTGTGTGGAAGAGTGGCTCGGGGTGCAAAATGATGTCAGCATCCTCCAGAGCTTTCTACATTGCCTCTGTTCAATGCAAACCGTTGCGATCTCTTGAATGATGGCATTGTGCCTGCTCGCAAGCCCTCAAGCTGCTGAGGCTGCTGTGATTCGAGATACAAAGGTTGAAGCTGTTCATTTTAGCCTGAAGTCCCCATGGAACCCTAGCAAAAGCTTAGTAGCCGAGTTAGTGTACATGTACACAGTCTGAATGGTTTGCCTAAACATATATGCAAAGCCTTGAAACCGAAAGCTTAAGGTCCTCTTGCATGTGTGAGGCTCTATAAGCTTAAAGCCGAGGCCCTATAGCTAGCCCTACGCCTGAAAATCCAAAGACCGAACCCCCATCACCCACGCATAGAAAACCAAACCCCTTTATATCCCAACTCTTAATATGGAGCCCGAAGCCGAAACCCTAAATCCACATAAACCGTTTTGCCCGAAACCTTACAACAACTACGCCGTCTTCTGTCCAGAGTCGTGTGTCGATGTCGGCACCGGCCTCTTCCTCGGACGGGCAATGGATCACAGGATACATTCAGGAGTCAGTTGACGATGTTTTGCATCACATATCTACCGGAGATGTGCCCCGGATGCATATGAACATCAGTGTGCTATGTGTGCAACTGGCAGAAGAGGCCGTCTTAGTTCTAGCAGGTCGCTACGAAGGACCTCCTCAAAGCTAGCAGCCCGCAGCCTAAAAGTGTTCGCGGTGCGAGATAGTGGATGGCCCATATTCATATAATCCTTTACAGCACAGCACGAGGTCGTTTGCTTGAACTACCACAAGTTCTGGTGCCGTGTCTTGGACTGCATGCTGGTGGCTCAATCATGATCATTCCACAATTCCACAACTCCCACCGAGGCCTGATCTGCTAGATCTAGCGAGAAGGCTAGAGGCCAAGAAGACACAATGGGGACATGTCCCCGTCCTGGAAGCATGGTCTCTGAAACAACCGTGGCGAGACTTGTTTGCAACTAATAATCCCTCAACCTGAAACCACCTTTTATGCCTGGGTGCTGCGGTTTGCTCTTGCCTGAGGAAAAGTTCTCCCGACACCACACAAAGCTTTGGGTTCCCTACGTTTGGGCCTTGGTTTTGGTTGCACTAGTCTTGTTTCCCCCCGAAACCCTAAACTCTAAACAAATCAAATGAGGTTAATTTGGATGCAGCCGGTGATGCTACGCATGGCTGGTATGAACATTACATGTTCCTGCCTCACGAAGTCATGGGCTCTATTGGGCACCAGAGGCCATCTGCACGCAACGATTTTTTGGGCATGCTACCAGCCGAATGTATCATCATGTGCTATATCTGAATCATGTCTGTTCTTGCCGATGCAGGAGATTCGAGAATATTGCCAACACTCGAGAATGTTCTCTTCGCATTGGTGGTTCAATCACCCAGCTGCTCAGCTTCTTAACTTTGTCTCGTGCTTCCGGGTTGTGCTATGTGTTGAGGCCCTCTGGGATGCAGAAGATTTCATCGTACCTGTACGAGTCTACGGAGACGGAGCTGAAAGCTATCGAAACTTGCTGCAATTATATGAGAGTGCCTTGGGGAAGCTAGCATTTGATTTCCATGCTGGAGACACGATGGCTCCAGGTTCTCAAAACTTCGAAATATTCCTTCTGCAGTCCGTGCTGGGAGAGGAATCTTCGTGCATGAGCACCCGCTTCTTGTTCTCTGGATGCAAGGTGTTTCGCATCTAGTTCACTTGCTAAGCTTTCGAAGCTTCGCTTGAAGATTCATCCGAGGCTGAGCTGTATGTCTGGAAAATGCACCAATGAAGCAAGGCGGCTGATTATGAAGACCATCGCCTGGTCTCTGGAGGTTCTCAGCGGCTCGATCGGTCCTAACGAAGGAGTTTGCTTGTTTCTGATTTCTGGGCCCATGCTAATTAGAACTTATAATAAATTTCTAATTATACCCTAAACCCTCAACCCTAAATTTCCCTTATAAAGGAAATACCAAGCCAAGGTCAGGGAATATATCCTTCAGAAGGTATGGATGGCGAAGAGCTACAGGGCTCGCAAAGGGCAAAAGCCGGCCGCCGCATCTGTGGGGAGTACACTGTTGTTTTGGATGCTTTCCAGATGGACCAAGAGTTCATCAGCAAATGTTTTGGGTTGCAAAGCCTCTCATCTGTATAGCAATGGCTGGCTTGGAGGTTAGTTATAACTCGATGCTTGCAATTTAGTGGTGCTTGCTTCGACCAATCTGAGGAAACTACACTCGCAAGATGACTTGCTTCTACTGTGAGGCAGGATCTGAACCGAAGGGTTTAGGGTTTCGGGTTTTAAGGCTATATATAGGGTCTAAGGTTTGGGAAATACCATCAATTTTTAAAGGCTTCTGGTTTCTCCTCCTTGCAGGCATTGCAATGGATTCTGAAATATCCTCGTAGCGACGACCCGGAGCCAAATGATCCCGAACTCTTGTTCACAAACTTTGGTCGAGCAGCCCGCCATCGCAGCACGCAGCTCGCCATCATCGATCCGCAGAATAAAGCTCTTCTGATCTACAGCATATATAGGCCTTCTATATACAGTTCAATGATGACCGAGGCTGTGTTCTGGAAATGACGATTTCATCCGGATCCACGGGTGGTCTCCCTTCGCTGGGCTAAGTGGGAACTACTGCCCATGGCGACTCTTGCCAGGACGTGATTTGCAAAGTCCAACTGTTTTAAAACTCTCGACATATAGACAAAGTCTAAACCTTGAAAACCCCCATGTAAACCCGGAGTGATCCCATTAATGTTGGCAGCATTAAGGTATTCTTCCCGACGTCATGCACATCGTCCACTTGGCTTGCTTAGTTGATGTGGTGACATCCATGCTGCTAGACCTCTCGGATACAACTTTTCCCTGGAGTGGCTCCTCCCGTGATAGTCGACTTGAGCAGGGATGGCGAAGTTACAAAAGCTATTGTCAACGATGGGGCATCAATGACAGAGCCGACCGCAAGCTCTTTACAAACGATGTCTTGAAAGGTGATTATGCTACCGTATCTCAAAAGATCCTGCGAGCTGCTGCATCCAAATATATGGTGTTTTGGTTGCACTTTCTGATGGAAAGCCTGCTACTGGGCATGGCAGAGCCTGAGCGGCCTGAGCATCTGCAGTGCCCCAGCCTGCTATTGAATAATATCTGGGGTTCCACGTCTTGCTTTTCAGCTCACAGAAACTATAAACTGTGACCTCTACTATAACCAGTAGTTTTTGGGAGTGGTTCTAATCCCCATACCCTGAACAGATACCGGAATATCTTGACCGATACCCGAACTTAAATCCGAGGCTCATTTTCGGTGTGGTGACTGGCCTTATGCAATTGGAGCAGATCCAGATGGAGAATGGCCGTTACTTCACTGAAGATCAATGCCGCTATTGCGAGTCTGCTTACTATCTGTACCGGGCCTCTTACGATCGATTGGCTTCAATGGCCCTGGCCAATGGAATCCCTCGCTGGAAGGTGCGACCCAAGCAACATATGCTGGAGCACGAGGTGATTGACTTTATTGGCGAGTACAGATGCAACCCTCGCTATAGTGCGAACTATATGGGTGAGGATGCAGTGAGGCGTGTAAAGCAGCTGGCAGTGGCGAGCCACCCGAATCACGTGAGCAGACACGTGCTTTTGAAGTGGTCACTGCAGTTCTCACTGCCACTTCGCTCTGCGAGTGGGTGAAGAAAAGTCGATCTGAGTCTTTCAGCTTGAGCCCCTAACAAAACCCGAGAACTTCGAACAAAACGACCCGAATTGAAGGGCTTAAACTTTAGACTTGCCGGAAATAGACTGAACATATATAGTCTGTTCTGCAACAGAGTTAATATACATATATATATGTATCTAGGTGTATATATATATATATATGTATATTGACTCTGTTGCAGAACAGGAGCAACACGAAGCCCCCACGAGCAACCCCTAATTGTCAGGGTTTGCAACAACAAGCAAGTGCGGACATAGATAAATTACGAGTTTCAACTTGGAGTGCGAGGGAGATCGAGAGTTTCAACTTGGAGTGCGAGGGAGAGAGAGAGTTTGTTTGTGTTGCCTCAAGTAAGTGTTCCCCTGGCTCAAGGCAGTGCTGGCACAACAAAGCCCCCCAATCGTCACTATACAGCGGATGTCGCTATAACAAGAGTCGTCGCCACGCATGGTATCGAACAGATCGTGCTGGCAATAAGCGAAACAATTCTGCAAGAGATTTCCGTTCCTAACGCTCCAATAAGCGAAACAATTCTGCGAGAGGTTTTCCTTCCAACGCCCCAATAAGCGAAACACTCCTAAACCCTTAACAACTACAAGACCTTGAACCCTAAACCCCAAACCCTAAACCCTACACCCTAAACCCTACACCCTAAACCCACACCCTAAACCCTACACCCTAAACCCTACACCCTAAACCCTAAAAACCCTAAATCCTATAAATCCTAAACCCTAAACCCAGGTTCCCAGGCGAGCCTGGGCGAGGTCGGAGGCCATCTGCTGCGCACGGAGCTCGGCCTGGTCAGAGTCAGGGGTCTTCGGAATCGGGGTTTCGGGTTTAGGGCTTTGGGGACTTAGGGGGTTTAGGGCTTAGGGGACTTTGGGGGTTTAGGGGTCTAGGGCTTAAGGATTGAAGGGTTTGGGGTTTAGGGGTTTAGGGGTTTAGGGTTTCGTTCCTTTGCGGCTTTCTATAAAGTGTTGCAAGGGGTACTATAAGGGAGACTACAAGGGGTACTGTACGGGATACCATGAAAGCGGGTGCAATAAGGGGATACTAGCAGTGATACCATAAGGGGTTCGATACGGGATATGCAAGGCAAGGACTCCTACACGTAAAGGGTGTTGTTTTCTTGGTCTTATAGAGGCATTGTGGGTGGGGCTTGTCTGTTGAGGATGTGGGGGTTATACCCAGAGCCTCCAAAACCCCTTAATTAAGGAATATACCTTAAATTATAATAATAGGTATCTTGTTATAATTTAAGGTATATTCCTTAATTAAGGGGTTTTGGAGGCTCTGGGTTCATTGATCTCGAACGCGCCGCTGCAAGTATTGCGAGGCCATCGCTGCAGCAGGCCGTTGCTCCTGCGGAGGCGCTGAACCTATTCAAAGTTGTTGTGCTACACAGGACCACCCTAAGCGCCTAAACCCCCTGAAGCCCTGAAAAGCCAAAACCCTAAACCACGAAGCCCTAAACCCCCCACTTCCCTGTCGTCATACCCAAGCCTCTTGGATCTTTCTCCGGCTGGGCGAGTTGGCCTGAGCTGCGGGGTTGTTCAAAACTCGGATTGGGAGCCCTTTTCCGGACGCTGGTCCCACCCCAGCGTCACTCGTTAGAGTTTCTGGCTTAAGGTTTGATGGGTAATCATCCTCACAGACACCAGAAGCCAAGCCATCTCGAAGCCACCATCAACTTGTGCCCAAATCCGAACTCTGCCCCTTCCAACCTTCGTGTCATGGTTCATCCCAGTCCCCGTGAGCGACTGGACACCAAATCCTGCACCCTGAACAAAATTAGGTACCCCTATGTTTCGGAAACTCTCAACCCTTATGGAGCAACCCTCACAGTACCCTTATAGTAACCCTTTAAAGGAACTCTGGGCACCCAACCCCGAGCCTAGACAACAAACACGTAACTGTGGGCCTTGCACACCTCTGATCCCTTCCTTCCTACACCCTGCATTAACGACCTCAGACCCTGATCAGGGAAGTAACACTCTCCACGGGATGATTTATGCTGATAGAGTAGAAGCCAGAAAGTCGCAAACTCTCCAAGAACAGACAAGCAGCTACGACCGAGCCCTTGAAGTTCCACAAAGCCATAGAACCTACATCCTAAACCCCAAGAGCCTACATGAGTCCGCTGTACGTCGACTCCCTCGGAACTTGGGAGCCTCGAAAAGAAAGTGTCAGAAACTAAGAGAATTTAAATATGAAGGTGTTTATGGGTTTAGGATTTAGGGTTTAGGGTGTTTATGGATAGGATCTTTACAGGAAGGACCACGAAATCAAATGTACCCTAGAGACATGAAGCCCCATGTAAGGAACAGTTTCTGAACATCCATGCCACAAAGCATTCCTCCCACATCAAAAAACAGCTTCTGGTAAAAATTTGAAACTGACAAATTTCGAACCCAAAGCTCTATAAAACCGAAGCCCTCAACAACAAATGAGCCGTCAACCTAAACCCTAGACACAAAAGCCCAAAACAAAAAAACCAATCCCTAAACGCCCAAACGCATCAAATCCCATCCCAGATATTCCTAAACCCTAAAACCTTATTGTAGAAGCCACATAAACGCCTGAAAACCCTCAACCGCAAACCTTGTACAAACTGCAGAGCCCACAATATCTGGACTTACCTTTGGTTAGTAGGGAATGGAGGAATGGGGTACAATTATAACTACCATTACTATCATTCTTCCATTCCCTACTAACCACAGGTAAGTAAACCCTAAACTCCATAGATCCCTTCAAGGAACCCTATACATCCCTTTAAGGAGCCCTTCCTAAGTCCCCTCCTAAACTCTGAACCTGAGGCCGGCGGCCACTTGCATCTCTCGCGCGCTGCGCTCCCAGTCCTCCAAACTACAACTGGGGCTCTGTAGTTCGTAGAGGGTTTAGGGTTGAGGGGTTTAGGGTTTAGGGGTTTAGGGGTTTAGGGTTTAAGGGCTTTGGGGGTTTAGGGTCGGGGGTTTAGGGGTTTAGGGTTGGGGGTTTAGGCTTGAGGGGTTTAGGGACAACTAAGGGGCTCTGTAGTGTGTCAAAGGGTCTGGGGCTGAAGGTAGTCAGGGGTTTCATGTGGGATCCATAAGGTTTTCGGGCTTAGGAATAGTATGGGTGGGCTTTGGAGTATCTGGGGTTCGAGGCAAGAGATTTGCAGGCTGTGGTGCTGGAGGTATTCAGCAACGATCGTAGTAACAAAAATAACAACAAGAGTGTTTATTAACATTCACAATAGTACTGGTAACCATGATAATAGCAGTGGTGATAAACTGCTCACTGATCATACCAGCATCACGAAAACTCGCCATAGTAAACATGGCACTGGCAATACCACTAGCCGAAAATAATAATGCTACATGATGCTACACTTCATGACAAGGGTAAAGATGCCCATGGGTGCTTGGCAATGCTACAAGTATTCCTTATCTGTTGGCGGCGATCACAGCAAAGGTTTATGTAGGGGTTACGGGTTTAGGGTTGATCATGCTGATTAGCGTGCTGCCCGCGTATGAACGAAATGGGGGTTTTCCGAAAATGGGGGACCCTAATATAGTACCCTAAATAGTAGGATCCTTTATATAAGAACCCCAAAATAATGTAGCCCTAATTTTCGAAACTCCCAACTAGCATTGCTTGTCTTCGTTGTCGATACCGATGTCCGGTCCTGATGCATCATGTGGGGGAGACCTCTACACTAGGGTCGCTTTTAAGGCCCTTGTTGGGAGAGTAACGAGCTCTTCGGGGTTCCCAAAGAGGCAAAGAGAGACCCCCAAAATACAGTTTAAACACTCAAGACCGAATCCATGTAGACGTGGTCCGACAGTACCTGGGGTGAAAGCTTGCAACCTGCAGACCCGAACTTTGAAAGACGCCCAAGCCCAACACCCTAAACCCCAGGCCATGAACCCTCCTAAACCCTCAGACCCCCCCCCCCACAGCGGAAGTCCCTAAACCCTACATCCCAAAGCACAATTCTCAACAAATCTCTACCACAACCACCCCCCCTTCCTCCAAAACAAGTGGAAGTTCGAAGTCCTCTCCAGACCCTTTGAGCTTCGCCATGTCGTCCTCGCCGTCGAAGCTGACCACCTGATCCAGTCAGCACTGATCTAATTACTTAAACCTAAACCCGAAACCATAAACCAGGGTTTAGGGTTTAGGGTTCCCGAACCAACGAAACAACATTTCGTCATTTTCTGCTTTCGAGCATGCGTGAATGTACATCCCAATGCTTCGAAGGTTACATAAGCCGTCCATGCAGCTAGGGTGCGTGACACACAACCATTACTTCGTGCCTTCCATTCCGGTGTAACTAATTATTAGGTATTGGGCTCATTCAACACTTGCGGTGCTGCACAACTGGACAACGGATAGAGAGAGGGCAAAACCAGTGCATAGTGCAGTGCATCAGCTGGTAATGCGAATATGCATACCACTATGAAGATGCTTATGGCTGATGATGATGATGACGACGATGATGAAGAATCGAAGTTATGTTGGTGGTAGGGATGATGAAAACGAGGCTGCAGATAAATGAGAAAGGCTGTGGCCATTACTTTGAATGAGTTGCAGGTCGTACTGCTTATGGCCTCTAGCTTTAAAAATATCGTACAACACTGCTGTCAAGTCTGGTACAAGCAACTGTCGCAGCAGTAGCCCCACGCTTCGATGTGCAGCAGTAGCAGCAACAGCAGCAGCAACCGCAGCAGCTACAGCAGTCCTCGCCCACGAGGCATGGAACAACCTAAACCCGAAGCGTAGTGGTTCTCGGACGAAGAAATGAAACCCGAAGCTAACCCCAGCTTGGGCGGCAGCTTTTTTCCTTCCCATGGGCGCCGCCGTGCACTGCAGCGAAGAGTAGGGGCTTCGGTTTAGGATGATCCCTCCGTCTTATGGCTCCGAGGAACATGCTCCGTATGTTACGTTTGTGGTATCTCATCTAATTAACTACTCGGGGCTGTGGAATGACGGA